AACATCATAAACAACTTGCATTTTTTTGCAGCCCTAGAATAATTATGAGAATATAATTAACATTGTATGACAAAACAATGTGTATAATTAACAGAATGTATAATCCTCAAATCTTGTAGCAATGGTCGAATTTGACATGTTTCTTAAGTGATATTTTCTGTTTTACTGTCAGTTTCCCAGATCAGTTTGGCATCAGCAGGAGACTATGTGATTTACTGTAAATTCTGCTATATGTTACATCAAATAAAAAAAATCAAATGGGATACTGCTCTCAGTGTTTCAAACGTAATGTTCTGTAGTAATTTTATGTATAACATGATAATTTATGTCATTCAGATGGTTTTTGTTGTTGTCATGACTCATTGGCTAATATTTCATGAATTTTGTGTATAATACAGAAATACACATCATGGCCATTTTCATCATGTGTTCTCTAAGAACCTCTTCTGTCTGCTAAGAACTGCCTCATGCTAAGTCTTTTACTGTTGCAGAATGTGCCTAAAAGAGTGAGAGATTTTACCATCCTATGTCGAGATGGGTGCTCTACGGTATAGATCCTTTTGCGTCGGTGCTATTTTGACTTCTGTGATGTGGATGGTGATACTGTACCTGTACACAGATATCGCCAATGACTTGAAAAGGAATCTCAACTTCCTGCCAAATGAGGGCTTCATTACAATCCGGCCAAAATTGTTGCCAAGATATGACAGGGATTTCAAGCATTTTCACAAAGATGACTCCGAGAATGAATTGTTACCTGCTGGGATTGACAAGCACCTCGGGGTAGCTGGCCGAGTAGCCGACCTTTCTGGCAGCCGCGTCGCTGAAAAGGAAACTGGCAACGTGGATCAAGTTAAAACAGTTTACCGCAACAAAACGCTGGTGAATCAGGACACATACTCTGAGAGTGAGAGTGATATAGGATTGATCCGATCGCAGGAAGATCAGGAGAAAAGAGAAATGGGATTCAAGCTGTTTGCCTTCAACGATCTCGTTAGCCAAAGGATCGGTAACATCAGAGAGATACCGGACACACGGCAGACACTGTAAGTCATGCCGTCGTCAAAGCTAAATATGTGCATATATTGATTAGTAAGTGTGATGCGTAATTCTTATTTTTCTTCAATATTACATGCGATTTACATGTTCTAGTTAGTATTTGCTTGTTTTGAAACGTTTGGTTTGTTATAACACCAAGGCATTGTTTTAAGGCACATGCAGGTGTTAGGTAGCGACTAGTTTAATGTGACTGCTATGTCAACTGTGTAAATCGGGAAGAAAGATGGAAAGGAATATTGCAAATTGAAGCCCGAGAAACAGTTTGGGTTGCAGCTATAATTCTTAGATGTGGGAAATGCAGTAGGAATGAAACCATGGTAACAGTAATAACAACACTTTTTGAAAACTACTTGGGAGCAAGGTCTCTTACAAGTACACAGTGCAATTCATTTGTATTGACACTAACAGGTGGGTAAAACCACGACACGTCTTCCAACTTAAACACGCGAATGTTCACCAAGTATTATCTTTTATTGATGAGTACAGCTGCAGGCAGAAGACATACACGAAGGCTCTTCCGGCAGCTAGTGTGATCGTCTGCTTCTACAACGAGGCGATGTCTACGCTGCTGCGGACAGTACACACGGTGCTGCGGCGCACTCCGGCACACCTGCTACGCGAGGTGATCCTTGTTGATGACAACAGCGATCTGGGTGCGTCTGCTGCGATCAACCGATCTGCATTCGCGTCAGAGAAAGACGTGCAATCCAGTGTAGACGTGATGTGACACAAGAAGCAAAAAATGTGTTTGGAGCTGCTAGGATAAGCATGATGCAGATCAATTATTATTATTATTAAGCTCTCAACAATCAAGTATATAATTGCTAGCAGGCTCTCACATGCAGAGCCTACTTGTAAAGCGTCTGAAAAAAAACCCAGTAACATTGGGATTTATGAACGTAAACAGGACTGAAGCGTTTGTTTCTCTGTCATGGTGACTATGTGGTTGCTACAGTAAAGCTATATTGTGTGTGGTATCGAAGTAAAACTACTGATTTAAATGAACTGCGATACTGCTATATATAGTAGTGAGTCCTTTTTTTTTTTCTTGTAGAACATCTGAAAGCAGATCTGGAGCAACATATATCACGTCTCCCTAAAGTGAACTTAATGAGGACAGGAAAGCGAGAGGGACTGATTAGGGCCAGGATATTTGGTGCAGATCATGCATTGGGAGAGGTGTGCTGGCCTTTTTTATGCCTCTTCTGCGAAAGCACAGTTGTGTAAAAGTGAAGCATATTTTATTATGCTTTATTGCATTCATCTTCCAGGTTTTTTTATTGTTTTTTAAAAGAACACACCAAGCTGCAGTGATCCCACATAATCATCATCATTGCTATTGTGAGACCTATACTAGATGTTATCTAGGTGTACCAGCCTCAGCAACATTTCTCAGATTGTAGTATTTTTTATATTATCTATTAGTATTATCATTCTACTATGATATTTTAGACCAGTAAAAAACCAGTATGAGATTGTGACCAGTACCTCAAGGCTTTTTTTTATCTCCTAACCTTCCTTGCACATTCATTACATTTAACAGGTGTGGCCGTAGATTTACAACCCTGGTCGTTAAATTGAGGGATGTAATTTCTCAAAAGCTCGCATCACATATTTATAATTTTCAATGTACGATTCAAACATTTTTGTATTGTGTAACATTAGGAATAATGATAATGTTAGAACTTCTAATAGAAGTTTCTCAATACGTGTGTAACATACATAGTGCACACCGATACTGTTATTTCAGGTGCTTGTATTTCTGGACAGTCATGTAGAGGTGAACAAGGACTGGCTCCAGCCACTGCTCGACCCAATCGCTGCCAACAGTTCTGTTGTCACTATACCCATAATAGACATAATAGATATGGATACGTTTAAGTATATGTCATCACCGCTGGTACGTGGCGGCTTCAACTGGGGCATGAACTTTGCATGGAATCAGATCCCACTGTCGTACTTCAAACGAGAGGAAGATAAGTCCAATCCAATTAGGTGTGTGAATTGATGTGTTTGTTGCTTTATTAAGTTTATGGTTAGTTGGTAATTACCATCTTAATTCACAGTGTACTTTTTACCATCTAAGATTTTTCGTTGTCTATTTGGGATATTGGTTTGTTCTAGTTTTGTATCATTGTATCATTACGTATCATTACACTGGTATTTGCATAATTTATCCCATTTGATATAACATTAATTTCAGATCCCCAACAATGGCAGGAGGGTTGTTTGCAATCAACAAACAGTACTTTTTTGACATGGGCAAGTATGATCCAGGCATGGACATCTGGGGAGGCGAAAATCTTGAACTGTCATTTAGGGTTAGTGTGTGCATGTATACTGATTCCTAAATAATTTAATTTAAACATTTACCAACATTAAAAATGCTCGAATAATTGTAATACGTTAGCAGTATTCAAAATAATGTTTCCAATGTGTAATTATGATGGTTTTTATTGTGTGTACTTAAATCTGATTTGTTTTTGGAGATCCATGAATTTGCTTAAATTGCCAAATGGTTTGTGAAGTATTCATGTTAAACGACATTTCTACTGTCGACATGTAAATGCTACCTTCATATGAATGAGTTTAGTGTTACCACCCCTACCCAGATCACACCAGGTAGCAATTAGCTTCGTATTTGGCACATACTACCTCCTCAGTGAATGCTAGTAAGCTCACGTAACACTATTGTTCTGCAGGTATGGCAGTGTGGAGGCTCCTTGTACATCATCCCTTGCTCTAGAGTGGGCCATGTCTTCCGCAAGCGCCGACCGTACGGATCACCAGATGGCCGCGACACAGCCGGCTTCAATGCTCTGCGTGTCGCACATGTCTGGATGGATGATTACAAGGTGTGTCACTGACTATATCCGAATAGTTTCACGCTATACTGTGACGTTGGTTCTATGTTTAACATTTTGGAGGGAACATATACGGGAAGGAAGCTCATCCTCGGGTAGTGAAAACCTTAGATAGTTTTTCCAACAACTAGTTTTCTGTAGTGCACTTTTAGCCACATTGTGGTTATTCCAGCTCTGTCATGGCTAGTGTTCAGTCTGAGTTCATGTGGCGTTTTTTTACATGCTAGTTGAGTGTTTTGTTCAAGGTTCTACCTAAAGTCTTTTACTTGAGATTTATTGTATGTATTTATATTATATTTATTGCAGGAGTACTACTTTAAAATTCGTCCAGACCAAAAGAATGCTAGTTATGGTGACATCTCTGAGCGCTTAGCATTGAGAAAGCAACTCGACTGTAAATCCTTCAAGTGGTATCTGGAAAACATATACCCTGAACTGTCACTGCCTAGCACTCAAGCCCGCAATGCTAACCACGTGAACTCTAGGCAGGAATATGCTTGGCGTAAGCCAATCAAGAAGATAGGACAGACACAGGTTGGTGTAATTCATTTTGAAAGTATATAGCCTAAGCTGCCTTATATAATTAAGTCACCATTTTCTGTGGTGTGTATTATAATATAATATAATATGAGTATATATATATATATATGGATATGATCTCAATACTAACATGAAGCATCCCTATAATGAACCTGTGCTAAAATATGACTTTGGCCTTGAACACACATGGAATATATAAGGTATTATATCATGTTATATCATGAGTGAATAAAACAGTTTCTTTTTATTCACTCCTGGTAATACCAATTCCCGTGAAGAAACACCCTGTAACACACTTTATGGATAAGCTGGTGAAAAACAGACAGTAAGGAAATAATAAACAATATAATATGAACTTTCTATTGATGTTAATTCAATCGCCAGTACTGTGAATAATATTAAGTGGAACGTTCATATTTGCAATGCATTTTGCATTAGATCATGCACAAGGCAAGTGGGAAGTGCATCCACGCAAAGGAGGGCATGTACAAGAAGTCATCTTCCTTGGTGTTAGGTGCTTGTGACTCCAACGATCAGAAAAATGCAAGTGTACACAATCATGTTACAGTCATAACAATATACATTAACTGAATATGGCCTTAAATTCGAAAACTAGAAACTAGATGGGGTGCTGATTTGTGACAAAGTGAGTGTGCGCACATGTGTGAGAGAGAGCGAGTGAGAGAATGTGGGATTAGAGATGAGAGTGAGTGAGCAAAAAAACAAAAAAAACAGAGTGCAAACAAATAGAACATACTAGCCCATGTAATTTGGCTGCAAATGTTTTACTGCACGTTTGTAGCTGTGGACAGTTACGGTTCAGCACGAGCTGTTGCTGGGAGGCCTGTTGTGTATGGACGCAGACAAATATCCACGTATAATGAAGTGCACCACTCTTGGCGGGACCCAACAATGGCAGCCAGCTGGCAAGGTATGCGCTCCTCATGCCACCTGGTGGCTGCCCATAATTAACCACAACCATTGCAAAATTCCAAGTGTCAATCTTGATATCAGTGTTGTTGTTTGCTCTACTCTAAGCAGATAGTAACAGATTTAAAGGTAGGTGTTCAGCGCGAGAAAGTCAATAGTTTTTGTTTACCAGTTTGTGCTCGAATTGAACATTTACGATGGCTATCGCGTTCGTTATCGACAGAAACGCCTTAGCACGCCGTGAATTTCTCCGTGATTTTCTTGTGATTATCACGACGAAATGCTATTTCCTTTTGCTTGTCACCACAGTTCGGAGATAGACTGTACAACCCAGCAACGGGTAAGTGCCTAGCAGCAGGAGGTTCCTCGTTGAAGAGTTCTGTCATCATGGGAATCTGCAGTGACGACAATCCCAGCCAGAAGTGGTTGCTCACTGTGAAGCTGCCACCGACATAGCTTCCTCTCTACAGACGTGTCCACTTCTGATCTCACAATAGTCACTCCATTTTCTATATATGTTGTCCGGCAACCTGACCAGTATTAGTCTAGTAGCTGTATAGACAGCAACGGCCCTTTTTTTTTACAGATTGCATGCACTACGGGTAAAATGTTTGGATATTTTCCCCAAGGTGATAGTTGGAGGGTATTCACACTCACTAGTTCTACGAAATGCGAGTTTCGTTATTTCTCAACTGTAATAACTTAATTGCAGCCACTGTTGATTAGACTTGTTTCGTATACGACTATGTCGTTAAAATATTCAAAAACGTTATTTGGTATATTATATTCACTTTGTGTATTAAAAATAGGACCAAGTATGAAGTTTGGGAGCAGTTCGCATTGTTTTGAGGTACGGGGATGATTCCATGGGTAACCAGAGGAAGGGGATATATGGTTACCTATTGTAGGTAAACGTTGATATTATACTCTGTAACCTTTGCAACTGCCACTTTGTTAAACTGAATTGTTCCAATTTCCCAGACGCTTCTAGTAGCATGGTTATTAGTTTCATATGTCAGTTGCACAAGACAAAATTTTGAACTCTTGACTGCTAGACAATTCTTGGATTTCAGGAGAGCTCGGTAAGAATATGTATAGAGACTACCAATACTGCACATGCTGTAGCCACTTCTAATGCCAGTGCCAACTCTAGAAACAGCTGGTGCTGAGAACACGGACAATACCTAGCAAATAAGTTTGCACTTATTTACCAAAGCAGCTCGGCATAGATATAGTGTTTGATGATCTACCATGAACTGTATACCAGGTATAGGTCAACCTTATAGTAAGTAGATCATGACAACCTAGTTTGCCATGAGACGTTGTTCTTCTTACTGTCAATGTGATCTCTCCAGGTTGTCAAGGCCAAGCAGGTGTGGTAACGGTTGTTATGAGAATGTCGTCTTTTCTACCACAACGGTTAATATTGAGTTAGGAAATTCTCTAGTCAGCTCATGTTGCATAAGGATGTTATCTCTGATGTACTTACAGCTGGTAGGCCTCAAAAACATACTTTTTATAACCTGGGTCAGAAGGTTATAGCAACACATCTCAAGAACAAACGAGTTCAGTTTACTCCTAGCATGCTGCCAGCTAGGTGCAAAGTAAAATCATTCAATTTTTAGAATGCGTTCTGATTTTAACAAGCCCTATACACATGCTGTATACCGTAATTGCTATACTGGTTATAACACTTAAATAATTGTATATAATAGTGGGTATTATAAGGTATAATATAGAATTACTAGATACATTCCTGGACTAGATGTGTTATTAATATTCTTACCATGTTATTGTCATGTCAAATGCACAGCATGTTCTTGGGAATTTGTAATTTCCATGATTAGCTTCATTATGCTTTTCCTTTTACAATGTGCATGTTCTCATTTTTCAGGTGCTACTATTTAAGACTTTCAATGCATTCTTAAATCCTTGTGCATAATCTCACATCTGTTGTGTGCATTCAAAGAATATATGATATTTGTACGACACAAGTGTATTGATTTTGTTTTTACGTAACTAGAAAGTTCTATACTATTTTGTCAAACCTTGATATCAGAGTTGATTAAAAAGATTTAAGTAAATAATTGCGACCAAATAACTTAATATATTTATTAATTAATTCACATCGTTATAAAAACTGAAACAACTTGAGAATTGAGTACTCGATCCTTATAGGGCTGCTGCTGAAACAACTTGAGAATTGAGTACTCGATCCTTATAGGGCGGCTGCTATATGCTGCTGGGATGATATGTTGGTACTGCTGTCAGAGCTGAAACACTGTAAAACAATGGGTATAAGGAGTAGTCATATATGATACAATATAGATATTCAGAAATTTGAAATTCAGTATAAAATAAATTGGTTAAACTGCGAGCATGAAATACGAACCATTTAAAAGGAAATGAATGAAAAAAAACTTCACCCGTGTCCCATTAAAAGCTCTGTATAAAATAACTCGGGTGTAATAAATGTCCTGCAACACCACGGTGAAACGTGCCATGTATCTAAGGATCATCACGTGAAAATATAGATCAGTCCATATAAAAATATAATATAATATAATGTAATGTAATTAAGGATCATCACGTGAAAATATAGATCAGTCCATATAAAAATATAATATAATATAATGATAATATAGTAGAAAGTTAATATAATATAATAGTAAATAATATAAGAAATATAATAGTCCATATAATTGAAAGGTCCATATGAATCAGTCCAGTGTTGCATCTGGAATATTACAGCAGATTGGTTGTATTTAAAACTAAACTACTTTTTAGAATATATTTCATATACTACAGTGCAGAGTGCAATGAATCTATATAATAAAGAGTATTTTATAGATATACTATATAAAGAGATTTTCAGATGCATTCCATAAATATCTAGAAATTCCAAAACATTAAAACTCTGTGCTGAATTGAAAATGTTTTAGTCAGTGTCTGCAGGTCTGTCTGATCATTTCAAAAACACCTGAAATCTGACACTTCTAATTTAGGGCTCAAAAATCACACCAAGGATGGTTTTTCTCAGGGGATACAAATTCCTAATACGTGTGGATGAGGCAGTTCAGACGTGACTAGATCTATTGCATGGAGTCAAAGACACAAGTTCTATTGGTTAATAATAAAAACTTGCCCCTCAATGCTTGAACGACCGTTGTTGACCTGGTAATGTCTTTTTAGAATATTTATTAAATTTTCATATACGAACTGCTTAGTAGGCCTATAGGGGAAACCGTTTAGATAGAGCAAATGCTGTTTGCAAGAAAAAGCACAAATGCCAGTATTCTGCAAGTTCCATGACTTCTAAAAACAAAACCTGCTGCATCTGAAATTTGATACACCGTGAATGATTATAGTAAATACCTGCTGGTCTGACTGGATATAAGTAGGCCATCGGACGTTTATCAACGTTGGCCGAAAATAGGAAGCCTGTACAACCACTGACTCCGCCCCACTCAGTAGAAAATAGCACCTGCAATAAATGAGAACATGTCACAACATCTCCTCCCACTCACAAACTACATTCCACAAAGTCACAAAGTCAAACATTACAATGTTACCTTCACTCGGCACTGGCTGCAAAATTTCTGTGCAGTTGCTACAAAACTGCTTTAAGACAGAGTGAACGGTCCACATTATCCAGCAGCAAGCATGATCCTACCACAAATTACTGTTTGAGCGAACTAGTATATGTCTTAGCTTTTGTACATCGTAGACTACATAGAAACACTGTTGGCCTAACTGTGACCAGTAGTTAGGTGATTTGCAAACGATACTAGATAAATGTTTAAGGTAGCTTTTAAGCCTGTTTATTGAGTTGTGCATTATAAATCGTAGGTAGGCTACTCTCACTTTGTACGAGTTGGCGTCCATGTTAAATGTGTCACCACAAAAACGCTAGTAGCGGCCACTGGCGTAAATTTAAGCAATAGCCCCAGTCACTCGCGCAGTAAGCATGTACTGGGTTACAGCATAGATGAATGCCAGTGAATGCCAACTTTTCCAATTTCCAGTGTTTCTTACTCCTCTCCTATTATTATTTACTCCAGCTATAATGTACCTTGGGAACGTGGGCAGCATCCTGGACTGGGCAGGGAGCAGGTAGAGTGCAGAGAAGCTGCGCCGTAGTGAGACTCCATGCTCTGGTGAAGCCATCTGTTCCAACTGCAACCCATTGTAAATGACACCATTCTACACTGTGCCCAATGTAATAGCTCTAAACTCGTACCGACGTGATAATTTATGCTTGGTTTGAGCTTGATACCTCTACGTTATACATTTAAGCAGTTGATGATATCGAGTCAATGGGTGGGGCGTAGCATTCATATAAATTATCGTGAGATTTCATCCAGTCTTTGACTAATTCTAAATTTTGGTCAACCTACATCACTATTGGTGGGTAAAGCTTAAAATATAAGAGCTAGATGGCACTGTATGGGCATAAACCTGCATAGACGATGTTGGCGGTGTCATCAACATGAAATGGCAGCCCATGGTAATCGTTCTCATGGCCATGAAACTCTTGCATCACTTTCCGCATGCGAACATCCCAGCGTAGAATCTGAAATAGGACAAACCAGCCACTATTAAAGCCTGCTCATTTACCATACCACGCATCTATTTAGTGGTCCAGTTGGGGGATATTACACATAAAAGAGATTAAGACATAACATAACATGGGCTATACTATTAACATATACATACTATAGTACATATATATGTTCATGGCCAAACTGTACACTGGAGGCTACAACTGTGCGACAAAATACCACTACACAAATGGCCATAATACACTGCAGAAATCAAACATTCACACAAAAACTGTTGGACTTGATTAATGTAAAATTTCAACATCGAACGTATTAATGGCAGTTCCGTACTCCTCCATCATAGTCTCCTGTCAGTATATAGTTGGGATCTGGTTGCATTCTCATGCAGCATACGCCCACATTTGCTCCCTGGTACCTGTCCATAAAAACATTTGCCCTTTATACTGTGTCATCATTCATGTATTGTTGCCTTACATTACATCCAGGTACATCCTTTACCATTACAATGAAAAAATATGCTGACAACGTAAAACAGACGGAAACTGTAATCTTATAGTCCTGAGTAACTGAAACTAAATCACTCTTCTAGTTCTACATTGTGTGACAGGCAGCTCTACACGATGCATCTTAATTGCTGGCTTATAAAATACTTGTTTGAAATATATCATTACTTATTTTACATGTGGTAGTCAGTTTTCCTCAAACACATTTACATATCTTTAACATTATAAAATAGAGAATCGGTGGTTATCCAGAGTTGTGTAGATGGGGCATCATGGTTTGGCTTGGTGCAGCTGGTTGAATCATCCTCACCTTAGCTGGCACACTGGCCTCTCA